TCGACACGTCCTGTAGTCCGGCACCCTACTCTACCGCTAACTCCATCTGCGCCTCTTTCTTCTGCCGCTCTCTCCATGATCAGCATAAGCGAAACCTTGCGCATTTAAGATCGTATGCACACTCTCGCTTAAACATGTACCTGCTGCTGCGCGAGTAGTGGTGATTTCACATCAAAATACCGTCAAGATGTCGAGCAAATGAAAACATAAGACTAGCATTAAAAGAGAAAATGGAGATTGTAAAAAAGTTAGATGGTGGAGAAAACATGTGCAAAGTTGGGCATGCTACTGTGCATGTTAAGAAAAACAGACAGAAGATAGAGGAACGCGTGAAGATGTTAGAGACAAGAGATAAACAAGGCAGATTTAAATTATTGGCTTGAAGGGATCACTGACGGAACAGAGCAAATGATGACAGTAGAAGAGATGCAAGAAGAGGAAAGCCTTACAGTAATATTGGAGCCACCAACTACTATTGCGAAAATATTTATAATAAAAAAAGACCTTATCTAAGGACTATTTTAAGATAAAGTAGTTAAGTAAGATAAACATTGTCCCCAATAAATATGTACATACATACATATGTATATAATATGTAAAATCATATGGCCTTCTTACTACATACATAATGCTTTATTTACCTTGAATTTCCCTGCAAGTCAGGTAATCCGAACATTCCAATAATCCGTCACCTTCTGGTCTTTTATAGTGCCGGATTAGTGAGACTACTGTTTATATTCTGTTTTTGTTCTTCACCACTGATGTTGTCCATGCAGGCAAATAAGCACTTAAACATTGCCAATAACAATTTCATAGGTGCTAGCAGGGATTCAAGTTGAACCCGGGTTGCTTGCATACTGTGTAAATATAAATTACACAATATGCAAGCAACTTTACTTAGCGTCCCAACTACGACAGCCCTCCAAATTACAAAATAATTTGGTACTCAAAGTAACAGCATAACTATAAGGGTATGTAATAAAAATGTTATTTATATTATATTCATATAACATAAATGTTTATTTTTCGATTTTCAGTGTGTAGCATTTAATGATGTTAATCCTCAAGCACCAACTCACATCTTGGTAATTCCTAGAAAACCAATACCTCAATTATCAAAAGCCACCGATGATGATGAGCAGCTTCTTGGTAATTATGATATTTTATTCTTGTTATATTTAAAAAGAAAAGACTATTAATGCTACAAAATGGTTAATATAAATTCATGTTGTATATTTTAAAACATAATTAATGCAGACACTACTGAATAATATCACAGACTATATCTTTTTACGTGGTAGAGCCATGCTGTTATATTAGTAGTATAGTTGTAGCACGAATGGGTCGGCTCGACCAAGGAAGGACCATGCTCTCACAGAATACCAGCGTCAAATAATAGCTTAATGCTGCTGTGTTTCGTATGGTGAGTGTAGAGAACCGGAGACCCTTTTTACTGGAAACGAGGCATTCCACCTAAGTCCTCACGGATGACAACGCATCTGCATTTTGATTCATATTCGAGGATAGATGTAGATGTCTATGGGCCACAACAACCACTTACCATCGGTTGACTGTGTGCTCGTTTGTCATCCTATCCTATAAAAAAAAGACTACAAATAATTTATTTCATGTCTGGTTATTTTCTGCATCGTGTTCATCCAAAGAGATATGGAGTGTAAAGGTAAGGGGTACAGACTCTGTATAAAAACGCGTTCTGCGTTAAAGTGAAGAAAGACTTAAGAAAGCATCGGTTACAATGTTATTTTAAGTGTGGTTTTTGTTATGTTACGATTAATCTCATAATTTCCAATTGCCAATACACTACAGCAGAATTCTGAAAGCTATCTCGGTGACTTTTGTTCCGTAGTTTAATTATTCATCATGAATCTGATCCACCAGAAAAACACCAAGCATAGCACTTTCTATGGCTCGTTGAATGATTTTGAGCTATAGTAAATATTGGCATTATTAATTAGGGAGCATTGTCCGTCTTTGCTGCTGGGCTGGATATGCTTTTAGGTTTCTGAATATTGCCGTCTCATAGTAGTCGTAAAAAGTGGCTATAGGAAATACCAGAACGCTATGGCTTCCAATAGAGAGCGGTATAGCCGTCGTGTTCACTACGGATGTAAAATTACCAGTCCGGTATTAAGAATATTAGTCGTCAGTAGACATGTGTCAATCATTCATTTCTAGTGACCGAATCATTCACAAGTAAAAGCTCTTTATTCGTGGGGTATGTGTTCCGTATATGTGCCGCGAATACAGAAACCGTGAATATGGAATGGTAATTTGAATGGGATTATATTGGGGATACGTTCCTAGATAATAAAATAAAAAAATAAATAAAAAATCTATTTAAATGAAGTTTTTGACCATATGGATTAATTATTATCTTCAGGCTCAGACAATGGTTTAAAGAATTTTTTTTTCTCGGCAGTTTTTAAAAGCTCCTTCAATTTAAACTGACATTCAGCAGTGGCGTTAGCAATTTGTCTCTTAAAAATAAGACTTCGTTCATAAAGAAATTACAAAGCTCATTTGCCATTCTTAAACCTTCACTAAGAATTTTCAAATTAAATGTCACGTTTTCAGTGCTTGTTAAAGCCGATGAACCGATGCACCGATTAAATCCGCGAATAAGGAAATCTGTAGCCGCGAATATAGGAATTGGGTCGCACTTTTTTTATCCGCAAATAGTGAAAACGCGAATGAAGGAAGCGCGAATAAGGAGCTTTTACCGTAGTACATTTTGTCGCGCGTACCGGTACATTCGGATCGATCATTCATTCAAATGGATCATTTCGAGCTTCAGTACTCTGAGTTTGTGAGATCCATTGGGAACCGAAAATTTTCTATTTGAGATTTGTAATAGCGCCATCTACTACATGCTATAAGTAATAAAGTAATTTTATCGAACTAAAATTTATTGACTTTCAAGGTGGTAAGTACAATCGATGCTTGATGGCATAAACACGAAAACGTCAAGTGATTCAATTGATTTGATTTTGATTGATAACTTTATTCAATATTATTATAATTTTTTTAAATATTTATAAAATTTGTTTATTTTTAAATTTCATTCCTAACAATACACAATTTCATCTTACTTTACATGTCTAAAAATAAGAATTGTAACATTTATTTGCTACAAAATTAAATTTTTATCTTATAATTATATAAGGTGGTTGAAATTATCATATTAAATAAAAAATTTGCCATGAAATCTTTTGAAGTGTTATTTTTAGTAAACCTTATGAAATGATATTTTTAACTCATATTGTAACAAATAAATATAATAAAAATTAAAATAATTTTTAATTTAGTTAAGAATATTATAATAAAAACCCTTAAATAAGAAATACTACTGGTACTCTGCAATCTGAATTGTTTATTCGATTCGCCTGTTCATTCAGATCATTCGGGATTCGGTCGGTTTTCGGCTCATTTACAATTCACACCAATCACGAGGTAAAAGGGTTCTATCAATTGTTTGTGATTGGTTGTACTGGTACATTCAAAAACAAATGAATGAACCATCAATACTTTTAAGTCTACCAGCTTAAACGAACGAATCATGCATGATTGACACATGAATAGTCGTCAGCTAATTGTGTTACATGACACTGTTACGGACTTTGTGACCTGGTTACTATGACACATCTAAAATTATATATCTATTATAATGTCTGACTGCCTCATACGGTCATGTGGTCGGTCGGTCTTGATCATTCGGTCTCCCGGGTTTGAATCTTGGGTCAGATCAAAAATCAATTTTTTGGTCTATCAGGAAATTATCAGCGGCAGCCCGAAGTCAGGATTAAACGATGTTTCACTTCTGAATTTTCACGCCTGATCTCTCTCCGGTGTTTTCGTATCGCCATCCTATCATTAGACTATTAAAGTGAGGAGATAGTGTACCTGTGCTTGCGCACAATCTCCCATACTTTCAATCCTGTCCTGCGCTAATGACTAGTCTCCGTTAAGACCAGCCGCAGTAATCGAAATTCTGTCTGGACAACATTATTTTAGTGCCTAGATTTGGTTAAATTAGTATGATTTATTAAATTAAAAAAATTGCATTAGATGTATTTATAGAAAACTTTTTGTTTATGTATTAGTATGAAATTAATATGATTTTGAATTTTTATTAGGTCATTTAATGATTGCTGCTCGCAAAATCGCCGCTAACGAAGGTCTAGACAAAACTGGTTTCCGACTTGTTATCAACGACGGGAAGAACGGGGCACAAAGTGTGTATCATCTTCACATTCATATTCTTGGAGGTCGCCAGATGGGTTGGCCTCCAGGCTAAAGTGTAACAAAAATGCTATTAAATAAAATAATTCAACTGTCATGTGTGTTTCTTAATTATTTGTTATAAATATGTCGTCTCCTTCTACTTCACAAGCCTTTAACAATCCAATCTTAGATATGATCCCTTCTCTTCTACTATTGTAGAGAGTTAAAAAATAGTGTGTAGAAGCCCCGACTTCAAAACCTATTAATATGGAAATTAAGTCTTAAAGAATATCACAAATGGATAGGTACTTTTTCTATCCTTTGAGGATTTTTTCAGTGTATATTTCATCCCAGAAAACTTATGAAATTATATGGGATACCTACCCCTGCAATGTAACATATTTAATAAAAAAATTATTGAAATTTGTTCAAAATCGATGAAGATTTCGCGAAACGCGTAAGTCTGCTAAAAATGTATGGGAAGGACGTATCGATAATAACCTTGATTTAATTCATTTTTATAATTTTGAGTTCAGTTAGGAAGTCAACTTTGCTATATTCGTTGTGTCGCAAAAAAACCTTCCGCTACTATCAGACTAAGTGACATGCGACGTCATATCATGACGCTACGTGAAAAATGAGGATTTTTTCGGTATTAATTATAGATACTTTATATGGAATTCTTTTTTCTTTTTTTATAAAATTCAAGACTGGTATCACCCACTCTTATATACATAAATATAAGGTAAGTAGATAAATCACAGTCTGCAGTTTGGTGTTATAGGCCAGAGCAATGGCTTTAGAACGCCCCGAGAAATATGTAATGATAATAATTTGGTACGTGGTTCTTTATCAATCAGGATATGATAACCACTTTCGTCCAAGCCTTTTTGAATTGCAATATTTTTTGCTACTAGTATAAGACGTCCTGAAACAAATAAAATAATGAAAACTATGTGTATAAAAGGTACATACGTAACAAGGTACAAAACAAGGGTATATCAAAGAAACAATTCTTAAAAATATTTTAACCAATTTAAAAGGCCAGTACATTTGTTTTCCGCTAAGATTGATTGCACTCTTTACGAAGCCGAAGTCATTTAGTCCTTTTTGTTTAGCAACGTTGAGCCGGCGCCCTTTGTTAAAAGCGATAAATCTAATAGCAAAGAAGTCGCTGACGCGGCACTTAAATTGTCCGTAGTTCTCAGAGAGGATATTCGAGTCAAGTTAAAAAGGCTATTCGTCAGCACCAGATTCAGGTAGGTATCCGAATTTAACTAAAGATGGAAACGCTGCGTATATGAGACTACCTCATCATTAGTACTCATACAACAGTAGCAACTGCGCAAGCTAGCACGCATCGTCTCTCTAAGTACTAATAAGTACCTAACGTTCGTCAAACAAATGGGCATAGCCAAATTCTTGACAGCACGATATTCGCAAGGTCTCTACAGCTTTTAATTTAAATAACGTATTACCTACATTCGGACTACATTAAAAAACAAACAATTTAGATATTACGAAAAAATCACAAAATCATGATAATAATGTTAACATATAAATCATGTATGTAATTGGGAAATGGATCAAAATCTTTTATGTTATGGAGCGTGTTCATGTAATGCGTGAATCTTATTTTGTTATTATCTCAAAAACTTGCTCCAAATTTAAAAATAATAATTTTCTGTTTAATGTTCAAGTTAAAGAACCTTTATACCAACTAAATCCTAAAGGATCGTTTTTTATATATATTAATTGAGATCTGTCGGAGACGTATACCTACAGAAGAACATAATAAATATGTAGATAAGCAGGTTGATAATAAAAATAGTTTAATGATTACTTGCCAAGTAGTTTTTCATCGGCCGTTGAAGTTTGGGATAACCTAGATATCACTTTTTTGGGCATCACCACGAAATGTACACGTGCTTGAGAATTCAATTCTTCGAACACGATACACTACAATAAAGTTAGGTTAAAATATTTACCTACGTAAACAATATCCAATATTATAACCTTCAAATCTCTAGCAATATATTATGTACTTAATTCAACTTAATTGTAACTACTTTTCAGTTTATTTCTTATATAAGTAAATGTATGTACCTGATCATCTTCATAAATAATTTCTTTTAGTGGTTTTCCATTAAAAAAGTAATATCTTTCTTGCAACATTCTTAAAACATTTATAAATACCTATAGGAATGACTCTAGGTGTCTAGGTCTCAATCTATCTTTTAGGTATAGGTACGTATATTACAGGTTACAAGTACTATTAGTAGCAGGTATATAGTGTATTATCTATGATTATTATTAGGTATCTAGGTCTCTGAGTATTCAACGAAACAGCTATACATACGATGTTTGCGAATAATTTGTATAAATCGTATCTGAAAAAAATTATATAATTGCGGAATCGTTAGAAACATTTGTAATCTCAAGTAAAAAATTGTCAGTTTAAGTATAACTTTATTTATAAAAATCAAAAACTTTTTACGCCGCGAGCATGAACGTACTAAGAAGCGAGAAAGTAGAAAAATACGTTTTTCTTGTAAGATATTAATCTGAAAACATTGATGCCACTGCGAATCGTTTGCAAATTAAATACCGATTCTGTAAATATTGCCTTTATTGCGATATTCGCTATAGAAACTGAGTAATAAATGAATTAGTTTTTCGTCAACTACTCTACTCCAATTTGGGCGGTTCGTGTACCATATCGTATAAATCGTATCGGAAAAAATTAGATAATTGCGGAATCGTTAGAAACATTTGTAATCTCAAGTAAAAAATTGTCAGATTATAACTTTATTTATAAAAAATAAAAAACTTTTTACGCCGCGAGAAAGCAGCAAAATACGTTTTTCTTCTTTTCTGTCTTGTTTTGATCTGAGAACATTGAAACCACTGCGAATCGTTTGCAAATTAATTAACGATTCTGTAAATATTTCATTTATTGTTTGTGTACCATATTGTATAAATCGTATCGTAAAAAAAAAACGACGGGTTGCACTCCGGGAGTGCCGGTAGAAGTGAAAACTTGAATATTAACGTTGTGCATTTTTGATATTTTGGAATGGTTGGGAATAATTTTGCACGAATTGCTTTAATAATCAGTATAAAAGTACTATCATTTACGTGGTAGAATACAATATTTATTTATTGCGCTGTCTTACACAAACATGACAATTTATATTACATTCGCGCAAGCGCCCTGCGCCGCCTAAACGAAACAGCAGGCGCAGGCATACATTTTCGCCGCGCCGTAGAAAGAGAGGGTGATACTTCCTCTCCTACGCCGCACCGGCTGTCTACTCTCCATCCGTCTTACGAATTTCCGATCAGGTCACGTGTCCTGACGCGAGTTGAACATTTTTACCCATTACAAAAAAAGCGTACAACGCCGCTAAAGAAGTTTTCGTCTTACGAATTTTTGATCAGGCTGTCGTGAAGCGACAGTTAAAAATTAAAGAACCTAACCTAACAACGGCAAACAACCAAAAAGAAAATAATTTATTTAAAATTTGTAAGAGAATATTTACAGTTTCTTTTATAAAATGTAAAGCCACAATTAAAAACTATAGAACCTAACCTAACAACGAAACAACCAAAAAGAAAATAATTTATTAAAAAAAAATGTAAAGATATTTACAGCTCTTTTTTTTTATAAAAAAAAAAGGTATGAGGGTGATGATGGGCTGTAGTGATGATAGTGAATTACAATTTTTAAAAAAAATAAAAGTTAATAAAGATAAATGAGTACGGAAACAATGTATGTACAGGCTATGCCTGTGGTAGATGCACAGCGCCTAATCTAGGTACACGCAGCGCTTGAAGTAGGCACACACAGCGACCAGAATGAGCACATACAACACCCGGAGTAGACACACACAGCGCCTGGAGTAGACACGCAGCGTCTGGAGTAGGTCCACGCAGCGTCTGGAGTAGGTACACACAGCGTATTGAGCAGGTACACGCAGCACTTAGAGTAGGCACACACACACCGCTCGGAATAAGCACACACAACGCCAGGAGTAGACACACACAGCGCCCGGAGCGCCGGAGACACGCAGCGTCTGGAGTAGGAACACGCAGCGCTTGAGACAAGCACGCTCAGCGGCCGAAGATAGCGCGGGCACTAATAGGTGGAGGCGTAGGCGTGGCTAGGCGACGACTTCAGGAGAAGGCTTGCAAGATCCCGAGGCAGTGCGGATAAAGCCTTTAAGAGGTGCTTCTCGTATCAAAGCTGAAGTGAGAACCTCTATTCGCCGATTCCTCGGCTTTTATACTTTTTGACGGATCTGGGATAAGAACGAGAAATTATTTGAAATTATTTAAATTAAAAGCAAATTTTTGTAAATGGCCAAGAAGAAGAGTATTTTTGAAGTAAAAACATCAGGCCAGTAACGATATTTGAATAAAAATTGCCATGACAACCAGATAAACAACGATGTCAAAACATGTCAAACTTTGGTTTTAGGCTCGTAATAGAGAAACGGCAAGATTTAAGTGAAAAATGAGATATTATTGATATAGGAAAAAAAGGTAGCGCAACAGTGCGCACGAAGCCCGAAATTGCAGAGTTACGGAGAACTAAATAAAATACCGAAAAAGGTAGACTCCATTGACACCGATTTAAAAAGTGCTGATAGCGTGAAAATACGAAGTGAAAATGATTTGTTATTGTGTTCTTATGGTTTAAAAACGTTACAGGATCCTATGGAAATAAAGGTGATGCAAAATATCCAGTTTTGAGGCGAATGCAGAAAATCAAAAACAGAATGGAAAAATAAATTTCAAATAGTGTAAAATGATATGTAAGTAGCATAACACTACATTTTCCCCCCGACCCTGGAAAATTTTTGACTCAGCAAAAATTTTGACATGTACATTCTAAAATAAACCATAAAAACACAGCTTTGCAGTAACAGACATCACCAGGCAAAATCAGATATACCATCTCTTACATTCATCATCTGCATTCAGGTAAGGGTGGAGTTCACATTCAATGACTACCACTCTAAAAGTGTGTTCTCGAAAGGACATTCAGGCTTATTTAAGGAGTTGTCATCCGCTCCTGCGTGGAAAAAAAAGCATTTTGAAAGGACATCCAGGCTTATTTAAGGAGTTGTCATCCGCTCCTGAGTGAAGATAAAGATAAAGAAATTAATCTTAAGCAAGCTTTAATCGCTATCACTTAAGTAAAGATTAAGAACGGCCAGAGCGGTAGGGCTCAAAGCCAGAGATCAGCAACATCACTAACGAGATGTGTCTGAAATAAAAATAAAAAGTGAAGATTAACCAACGAAAGTTCGAGGTCCTAAAGCAAGATGTGTTGAAGAACACTGGATCACCAAACAAACAAAGAAATAAAAATAATAAGGTAAGAAATGATATTTATACACATATACAAATTAATAGTTAATAAAACTTAAAAAAATTATGATTTTACATCTTTGATGTGCCACTTGCCTCTAACTCCATTAGGGTCTTCAAGCACATAGACTAGTGGTGACAGTTTAGCTATCACTTTGCACTTGATGAACTTAGGGGCAAGTTTAGCATTAAAGTATGCGCCGGCATTACTTAAAACATGGTTTTTACGCCAAACAGTGTCTCCCACATTAAATTCTTTAAAAGACCGGCGAAGATCATAGCGAGCGCTATTTTTAGCGTGAGCTATGTGAAGTTTAGTTTGAACTTTGTGAAAAATAGATGAGAGGAGACCAGCATTAGACGCGTAAATATCACGAGGCATAAATATCAATTCCTCAAGGTTCTGAGTTGGAGTATAGAAGGAACCACAAGGTATTGTTTCCCTACCAAAGACTAAAAAGTTTGGAGTAAAGCCAGTAGCTACATTTGTAGCGCTGTTCATTGCGTACTGAATCTTAGCAAGATGGTTGTCCCAGGATCTATGATCGTCTCCTACTAGAGATGCTAGAGCTGTAATAATTGTACTATTAAACTTCTCCGTAGGATTAACCTGAGGACAATATAAAGCTGTGTGAAAAATACAAGGAACGTTATAAGAATTTAAGAATGATTGGAATTCTCGCGACTGAAATTGAACCGCGTTGTCCATTATAATAGTTTGGGGAATGCCATGAACTAGGAAAACTGAATTTTCCAAAAGATTAATAATATTAGCTGAAGTAGCACGTTTAAGGGGGAAAAATCATAGTATATTTAGTAAAATTACAGTTAATTACTAGAATATACTGATTTCGTCTACGAGTCATAGGTAATGGACCCATAAGATCTAAGGATATAGTTTGAAAAGGTCTGGAGCAAAGTTTGGGTTTACCCATAAGACCATAGGGAGAATGATTAGGGTGTTTGTAGGTTAAGCAGGTTTCACAAGACGAGATTAATTTGGCAATGTCCTTAAACATACCAGGCCAATAGTATTTTAAAGATATTTTCTTGAATGTCTTGAAGATACCAAGATGGAGTTCTGAAGGGGAACCATGGTTAACTTCAATAAGTGCATGTCTATCTTGAGGTAGTGGAACTTCTTTCCAAATAAAGTCATCGTTTAGACGATCGAGAGAATGGATGCAGCGGTTAAGTTTGTTATCCTTGATAGTGTAGTTGGGATATGCGTCTGGGTTGTTAGAGCATCCGAGAAAAATCTTGTTGTAGTGCTCAAGTTCACGATCAGGTGGTTCTTCAATTGTAATAGGATGTACGCCTTGAGGTGAAGTTTCTCGTGTATCAGGACGTTCTTGATTCTTATGTCTTGATAATAAATCTGGAACAACGTTATCCTTTCCTTTTTTATGTTTCAGGACAAAGTTAAAGCATGATAAGCGTAAAGTCCATCGAGCAAGTCTTCCTGATGGATTCGATAAGTTCTGAAACCATTTAAGTGCAGCATGGTCAGTATATATTGTAAATTCTTTACCATTGTCTAGGTAACATCGCCAATGTTCTAACGCAGTTATTACAGCCAATGTTTCTCTTTCAGTAGTTGAGTAGTTCTGTTGATTTTTATTTAGTGCTTTACTCATGTAAGCAATCACGACTTCTTTGTCATCTTGATGTTGAGTAAGCATTGCTCCTATGCCATAATTTGATGCATCACAATGTACAGAGAAGGGTAGTTTGAAGTTAGGGCAAGCAAGGACAGGAGCAGTTACCAAAGCTTCTTTAAGTCTCTGGAAAGCAGCTGC